GAGACTTACTTATATTTTGTCGAAATTTCTTCAGCATTCTTATTAGACACATATTGATTGCCGAGTTGTTTGGATTAAAATGACTGTATTGACATTAGATCTACCTTCTGGGTGAGTTTTGCGACTGCTATGGCTTTGTGCGTGCCCATGGCTAGCATTCGGAAATGCACCTTCTAGACGCACTCATTGAGATCATTTTGGATACCCAAATGAAGCTACTACATGGGACTTTCTTTCACACTTCATAAAGATTGTGAGCATTTGCAGAGTCTTGATCCAATATACTCCCCTTGTTTCTGGAGTTAGTGTATGGTTGTTAAATTCCTGTTTCTGCAGCCTGGTACAATCCAATGGGAGCAGGCTGTTTAATCCATTGTTTGTAGAGCCTTACTTATAACAAACAAATGAAACTCTCTCCTCAGATCTCTGTAATGCTCTCCATAATTTAGTCGTATAATGAATCGGGTCTCATGAACATCAGTTGTGATGGCTTTGGATCATAACCTACTAACCAATAACTGCAACCCGTATCCAGAGCGTGTTTTTTGCAAATCGAGGGAGTTTTTTTGAAAAGGTAACCCTTATTTTTTAGCCGACCAACGCTAAAAATATGAATTTATACCACCTTAAGAAGGACGCGTCTTAACTGGCCTCTTTTAACGGATTATATATGACAAATCTAGTGTTATCTACTTCGTCACGAAGCAGCAAATTGTAAGTTATCTTTTTAGACAGTAGCAAAATATGCCAAATCTCTCTGCAAGGGGATTCCTCATCACGCTACACCCGTCGTCCACCGATACACGTTGATGTCCGTCCTTTGATGGACATCGTTAGCTGTGATTTTCCTTCCTGCACACTATAAAGAAACCTTTTAGGAGAGGTGCTGACACGCACTGATTAATGACGGACCAACAATTCCCCTGCGTACTTTTCTCTTCCTTCTCCCGATCTGACCAATGCGGTGCAGAACGAGCAATTTCTGTTTACTTGTAAGTCGTCAGCCAAGACCTGCCAGCCTGGGTACGCGTATTCGCAGGTATCGCAATGCCATCTCATTGCATCAAGAAAGAGGCAAAAAACCTAGAAGTTTTCTTTGAACACCTCGGATTCCAGTGACCACGGTAGGAAAGGGATAGTGTGGCGGACCCCATAAATAGCGACAGCTATAAATCTTACCCATTATTGTTATTTGTCTTGCTCATGCTCTAATCAAAGGGGAAAAAATACCTATATTAAATTGGAATAAGCGAAATGCAGTAATCTCTGTTTTAGGGCAGCCAACAAAATCTCACCACCTGAATATGGCTGGGTGAAGGTATTTGACTAGCATTTTACCTCACAGCTTCTTACGTCCAACCTGGAGAAATGGCCACTGCTGCCACATAATACAATTGAGTAGACAATTAGCATTGCGAAACCGTTTTTGCATTAGCCTTGACAGTAGTCTCTTAATGAATGATATGTTGCCGCTTTAGTTCACTCTGCGAAGTTTGCGGATTGGGAACAAAGTAGTCTAGGCTGAATTCACTGCTGCAAAAAGCACCTCACTGATACCCTCTTACAAAAAAATGCTTTTTAATTATCTCTCCATGCGTACCACTTTATGTGCTCGTAGAAGTACGTCTTCTGACAATTCTTCTCCACCGTTACTGCATAGTTGACAAAAAGGGCAATACCTCTTATTCCATTTGCACGTGTTGATGCAGCTTGTGCGAAACCAGAGACAACTTCTTTAAAATTCCCCACCTTCTTGCATCGTAGCAAAGTATTGCCTGATTTAGTGAGTCAGCACCAACTAATTTACAGTAAAAGAAGGCCAATTTCAATTGCCTTTTACACGGTTGAGGCAAACACAATCGAGAACAGTTCAATCAACTATTGCTCGACAGGTACAGGCATAAAAGCTCTTTAGATGAGGTCTTGAATAAAAGGACAGGAATGCACTTTCCTTGCATGTAGGTCTTTACATACATTCACCTCCGAAGCAAATCTCTTCTGTCCCTCCTTCTCGCCATACACCGACCGTCCTCACCAAGGCTTTATATCAAAATTGATGACATGCAGCCTTGACTTTGGAATCCGACGTTGCTTATTCGTAATTAAAGCAGTCTTAACAGTAAGCATTTTTATTCCTGGTCAGGAACTCAGAAAACGAAACCTCACCCATCACCATCGTTCAGCACCAGTAATGTGACAAGTTGAGTGGTTAGGAACTTAGGAAAGCGGGTCTGTTCAGCCACCTTATAAATGCATCAGAAAAGTAGAACTATCATAAAAGCTACCATAAATGCAAAGTCAATGGCCTCTGCAATCAGTTCTAAAATGATCAACTGTGGGGCCAGTGATGAAGTGCCCATCCCTTCAACAGTCAGCCAATCGTAATATCTACACAGTGAGTCAATTTTAGCTGAGAAATTGGTTTAGTTTTATACACAATTATGCGAACACACTTCGTCTCATTCGACATGAAACAGTGATACCTAATTACCTTTCTGTTACTAAAGCCACCTTAAGTTTTTAAATGAATCGTAAAAACCTATAGCTGTCCTTATTATCTTGTTCTTGGTATTTTTCAGTAAACCCACTTTAAAAATACTTAGAAATCAAAAAAATGATTTTTTAGAAATGTCTGTTCAAAGAGCAGATAATCAGATCTTTGAGGCTAGTTTTGCAAAGGTCTATTAATTTGGTCAATGAAGCGACTGCCATGAAAGAATGCTAAGCAAAAGTCACCAATAGATTGGTAATGAGGTAAGGCAAGAATAAACGAGAAAAAGAGGCAGTACTTACAAACGCGAGATGGAGGCGAGAATAGAAGAGGTGAAAGACGTCTTCCCCTAATTTCAAGGCTCTACTTATTAGAAAGGAGG